TTTTGTATTTTTAGTAGAGACGGAGTTTCGCCATGTTGCCCAAACTGATCTTGAACTCACTCAATTATCTGCCCACCTTGGCCTCTGAAAGTACAGAGATTACAGGCATGAGCCACCACGCCCGGTCTATTTGTTTACTTTTTTAAACAGATAGGTCTTGCTATACTTCTCAGGCGAGTGCAGTGACTTTTCACAGGTACAATCATAGCACACTGCAGCCTTGAATTCCTGGGCTAAGGCAATCGTCCCACCTCAGCTTCCTGAGTAGCTGGGACTACAGGCGTACACCCAATCCCAATACTGTTTTGTTAAAAACTAAGACAATGGCCTAGGCCTACACATGGTCAGGATCATCAGTATCACCACCTTCCACCTCCACATCTTGTCCCATTGAAAGGTCTTCAGGGGTACTACCATCTATGGATCTACAATGCTAACAATGTCTTCTTCTGGAATATAGACAACTTTTTTTTAAAAAGTAGGAGTAAACGCTAGAATATATTCTAGAATAATGAATGGTATGGTATAGTAAATACATAAACCAGTAGCATAGTTGTTTATCATACTTATCAAGTATTACATACTATACATAATTATGTGTGTTATATTTTTATACAACTAGCAGCGCAGTATGTTTGTTTACACCAGAATTACCATAAACACATGATTAATGCTTTGTGCTACTACATTACAATGGCTATGATGTCGTTAGACATCACCACTAGGCAACAGAAATATTTCAGCTCCATTTTAATCTTATGGGACCATTGTCACATATGCAGTCTGTCATTGACCAAAAGGTCATAATTTGACACTCTGTATATGGGAGATGTGTATAGGTTACATGCAAATACTATGCCATTTTATATAAGGGACTTGAGTATCTGAGGATTTTGGTATCCATTAAGGTCTTGGGGCCAATACCACACAGATATACATGTATGTGTGTAAAAAGGAAAAGGAAAAAAGATTGGGGATAATGAAGAAAAATAAGAGTATTTAGTAACTATTTATGTGCTGAATTCTACCAGCTAAATTGTCAATCAAGTACAAAAATAAAATAAAAATATTTCCAGACAATGTAGTCAAGAAAAATGTGTTCTGATTACCCTTCCTGGAAAGCTACTGAGGGAAGTGGGATATTAAAACAAAACAAGTAAACCAAGAAAGTAAATACCAGAGGAATCAGGAAACATGGGATTCAACACAAGAAAGATGTCAAGAGTCCCCAGAATGATTAAGATAAAAATCTCAGGAGATAGCTGTGTATAAGGCATAGAGAGAAATTACAAAAAGCAAATTTCAGACAAGTGAATATATCAAATACTTATGCAACACTATATATTTTATGTACTCATTTACTATATACTTCATATTCACCCACCCTAATCTAAAATATAAACTCTATGAGGACAGAATTTTGCCATTTTGTTCACTGCTGTATCACCAATATTTACAATGATGCCTCTATCTATTTAGGACTTAATATTTCCTCAATAAATAAAAATGCTAAACTTTAGCGTAATAATCACTAGATGTAAAGTAACTGGCAATAATATCCCCACAGTGTGGGGAGATTTTAACCTCTTATACATTCAGATTTCTATGGAAACAATTCTGTTCTTACAAAGCAGAATATAGTTCTAATGCGGTTCCCAAACATGAAGAAAAAACTTGAGAAGAATCAGCTGATTGCTATTTCATAAAAATCTCCATTATAACACAAAGATCAACAGATCTTTTGATCTCAAACAGATAATCTCTGTCAAAAAAGAAACAAAACTTTTATAGTATACAGAGAAAAAAGGATAAAGACTATTTCATTACATTTAATATTTCATCACCTGGTGCTCCACCTCCTGAAGTAAGGATTCCAAAAGTTCTGTTTCTTGGGTTAGAGATGTCTTCTGACCTGATTAAAAATAGTGAATCATCAACACTTGGGCTCATTACTGGTTTAAGAATGAAATTAACTTCCAATGAACATATTTAATAACAAGAAATACACTTCAAGTAAGCAAAAATTCCTCATTACAGCTACCCTAAAAATTCTCATTCAACTTTCAGAGGTTGAATATTATAGTAGCCTTGAAAATGGAACTTCAGAACCAATTCTAATTAGTTTTAGAGAAGATTATCACTTAGACTGAATTCATCTAAGAAATGAAATGTGCAATGACAATATACTTTACGCAAAAAATTTACTTTTCTAGATTTTCATATTCCCTTGGGAAGAAGCAATAACATGAATTTCATTCAGTCAGTTATTCTGAAATAATTTTTCACCAAATTTAAGTGTGGCTTAACAGAGAATACAAAGTGGGCCAGAGTTTTAGGTTAAATGTCAGCAAAAGGTCTGTCCTGTGAATATACAAGGACCTGTTTAAAAAAAAAAAAATCCCAGAGAGGTGAATAATCTCAAAGAGTTGGAGACAGAAAAGGATAAACAAATTATTACTGCCGGGGGTCAGTGGCTCATGCCTGTAATCCCAGCACTTTGGGAGGCCAAAGCAAGAGGATAACTTGAGCCTAGGTATTTGAGACCAGGCTAGGCAACATGGTAAGACTCAGTCCCTACAAAAAAATTAAAATTAGCCAAGAGTGGTGGTGCATGCCTGCAGTCCCAGTTACTCAAGAGGCTGAGGCATGAGAATCGCTTGAGTCCAGGTGGTCAAGGCTGCATGTAGTCATGCAGTGAGCCTTGATCGCACCACTGCAGTCCTGCCTGGGCAACAGAGTGAGACCCTGTCTCAAATTACAAACAAAAAAATTATCATTACAGAAATTATCATTACAGAAAAGGAAGAAAATGCTT